AGCTTTTTCCCTTATGTGTTAGCCCCTGCTGCCTCTGATTGTGAGCCACATTTTCCTACAACAGAGATGTAACTGTGTTTTTCAGTGCCGTTTGGCTGCTGTGATTATCATAGTTGAATAGCTATCAAGCGTGTGTAAGCTCAGAGAAGTGTAGCAGTGAGGCTGAGGGAAAGTTTATGATTTTGAGGTATGAATCTGGATTAATGGAGATTGTTGTTAGATGAGTATTGAGGAATAATTCATTGAGCAGTATCTGAAGCTAGTGGTACAGGGAGTGCAATTTGACATTGAAGATGCATTCAGTGACCTTGACCAATTGTGAGGTCATTGAATGTCTTGCAGCTCTGGGTATAGATCATTGGGGTTTGATTGTGAAGCCTGATCTCCTGCTGATACAGTACAGGACTGATACTTCCATCTCTCCAGTAAGGCCTCCTGTGTAGCATCCACACAACTTGAATCTCATGTTTTCCTCTGTTGTGACATTCTTCACTAGTTGTCAGGCTTACAGTCATTTCAGCAATGACTTTGAGAAGCTGCCTGTGTCTCAATACACATCCACTTAAGCTGTACAGGCGAGCTTCCAGTGGTGTTAGCCATTTCCAGTGTTGGTCACCTGAACAATATGGTTAGCACTGACTAAACAAACATGATTTAAATGAATAGGCAGCTCTCAAACTTGGTGTTGTGTGTTCACAGAAGTTAATTGTGCATCATGATTCCTGGGCGCATTTTCAGGCTGTCCAATTTAGCCACTTCAAAAACTGCTTTAAGTAGTTTATTGGCAGTGAAATGTTTTGGAAGATGTGGAGGCTGCTGTATAATTGTAAGACTTTCCGTCTTCATGCAAAACAGAGACTATTTGATACACATGGTGAAGATGAATGAGCTTCCAATTCCCTCCCACAACAATGATAGGATCTCCCTGGCCTTTACACCCCACTACCTCCTTGTCCAAAGGATCAAAAGCTGCAATTTCCAGTGGAATGCCACCACAGACACATATTCTCCTCCCCTGCCCATATCAGCATTCTACAGGGCCTGGTCCATTCCTCCTTCACCTCCAATACTTCCCCACAGCCTCATGGCACCTTCCCATGCAATCTCAGATGATGCAATACTTGCTCATTTACCTCCCCCTCCTCACTATCCAAGGCCCCAGACACATCTTCCAGGTGAAGCAGCGATTTACCTGCATTTCACTCAATCTAGTCTACTGTATTCACTACTCACAATTAGTTCTCCTCTAAACTGGTGAGATGAAACACAGACCGGGTACCCACTTTGCCAAACACCTATACTCTGTCCATAAAAATGGCATTAAGTTTCCAGTTGCCTGCCACTCACACACACCACTGTGTTCCGAACATTCCCGTCTCAGTCCTGCTGTAGTGCTCCAGTGAGGCTCAACGCAAGCTGGAGGAACAGCATCTCATTTTCCGCCTAGGTACCTCACAGCCCTCAGGACTCAACATCAAATTTAACAATTTCAGAATACAACACACTCCTCTAGATTTGTTACCCAACCCCACATCTAGGTCCTGTTTTGTATGGGTTTCTCCCACTACAGCCAAACTACTTTAACCATCTACACTTCTCATTAGCACCCTACCTCGCATTTACCTTCCTCTCAGCTTACAATCAGTCATCTCTTTGATGGAATTTTCCTTCTCTCTCTCTCTCTGTGTGACCTTTCTCTATGTACTTTATTCACACCCCCAGCCCCCCATGATCATCATAAATACTACCACGCCCCTGAAATATAGTAGGAACTGCCGATGCTGGAGCCTGAGATAACAAGGAGTGGAGCTGGAGAAACACAGCAGGCCAGGCAGCATCAGAGGAGCAGGAAAGCTAATGTTTCGGGTTGGGATCCTTCTTCAGAAATAGGGGAGGGGAAGGGGGTTCTGAAATAAATAGAGAGGTGGGGGCACGGTGATAGCAGGTGGATAGTGGAGCGAATTGGTGGGAGAGAAGACGGACAGGTCAAGGAGGCAGGGATGTGAGGGGGGTTGGTCTTGGGATGAGGTCGGGGGTGGGGAGATTTTGAAGCTAGTAAAGTCCACATTGAGACCATTGGGTTGTAGGCTTCCAAGGCGGAATATGAGGTGCAGTTCCTCCAGTTCCCAGGTGGGATCATTGTGACACTGGAGGAGGCCCAGGATGGACATGTTGTCCAGGGAGTGGGAGGGGGAGTTGAAGTTGTTCGCGACTGGGAGGTGTTGTCGTTTGTTGCGAATCGAACATTGGTGCTCCACAAAGCGGTCTCCGAGCCTCCACTTGGTTATACTTGCATGCCCCATGCAGATGGCCTAAAACCCCTCCGCTTCTTCCTCTCCCACAGGTCCAACCAGTTTCCCTCCACCAACATCCTTATCCGCCTAACTGAACTCGTCCCTACCCTTAACAACTTCTCCTTCAACTCCTCCCACTTCCTACAGATGAAAGGCTCGTGCTCCCACGAGGAGCTTGAACAGTTCATCAACTTTACTAACACCTTCCACCCCAATCTCAAGTTCACCTGGACCATATCTGATATTTCTCTCTCTGTCCTGAACCTCTCTGTCTACATTTCTGGTGACCACCTCGAAACTAATATCTATTCAAGCGCACCGACTCTCACAGTTACCTAGACTACACCTCCTCTCACCCACCTTCCTGCAAGAATGCGATCCCCTATTCCCAATTCCTCCACCTCCACCGCATCTGCTCCCAAGATGAGGCGTTCCACTACCGGACTCCCAGATGTCCTCATTTTTCAAGGACCGCAACATCCCCCCCATCAGTGGTCGAAAACGTCCTCGACCGCATCGCTTGCGTTTCCCTCTCCTCAGCCCTCACACCCCCTCCCCGCAATAAAAACAAAGACAGAATTCCCCTTGACCTCACGTATCACCCCATTAACCTCCGGGTTCAACGCATCATTCTCCGCCACTTCAGCCACCTGCAATCTGACCCCACTACGAAGAATATATTTCCCTCCCCACCCTTATCTGCCTTCCAGAGGGATCGCTCTCTCCGCGAATCCCTCATCCGCTCCACTCTCCCCACTAGCCCCACCAACCACGGCAAAGTTCCCTGCAACCACAGGAAGTGCTACACCTGCCCCTACACCTCCCACCTCACCTCCATCCCAGGCCCCAAGAAAACCTTCTATATCAAACAGATGTTCACCTGCACATCCGCTAATGTGGTCTATTGTATCCACTGTTCCCGATGTGACCTGCTCTACAATGGGGAGACCAAGCGGAGGCTTGGAGACTGCTTTGTGGAGCACCTGTTCTCGATTCGCGACAAACAACAACACCTCCCAGTCGCGAACCACTTCAACTCCCCCTCCCACTCCCTGGACGACATGTCCATCCTGGGCCTCCTCCAGTGTCACAACAATGCCACCTGGAAACTGGAGGAACAGCACCTCATATTCTGCCTTGGAAGCCTACAACCCAATGGTCTCAATGTAGACTTTACTAGCTTCAAAATCTCCCCACCCCCGACCTCATCCCAAGACCAGCCCCCCTCTCTCATCCCCGCCTCCTTGACCTGTCTGTCTTCTCTCCCACCTATCCACTCCTCCCACCTCACTGACCAATCCCCACCCCAACTTCCTACCTACAATCACCTTTACTAGCTTCATCCCTGCCTCCTTGACCTGTCCATCTTCTCTCCCACCTACCCGCTCCACTATCCACCTGCTATCACCGCCTCCCCTTCTCTCTATATATTTCAGAGCCCACTTCCTCTCCCCCATTTCTGAAGAAGGGTCCTGACCCAAAACATCAGCTTTCCTGCTCCTCTGATGCTGCCTGTCCTGCTGAGTTTCTCCAGCTCCACACCTTGCTGTCTCTCACTCCCCTGAAATGTTTACAGTTGATGAAGAGCTACTGGAATCAAAACATTAACTCTGTTTTTCTTTCTGTAGATGCTACTAGCTTGATAAGTTTCTCCAGCAATTTCTTTTTTGTTTTAGCCTACAGTCTCAATTTGTCATAATTACAGCACCTACCCTAAAATAAATAAATAGTAATTTTCCCAGAAAGAGATTAATCTTATGGGGTGGTTACCTGTTCTGGGAATCAACTTCCAGAAATGTGTTAGTTTTGCAACTAATGATATATGATTGTGAGTTGTGATTTCTAATTTTATCTCACTTGCATGTAAATACTTGACAAATACTTAAAGGAGAAAAGGAACAAGGCTATGGGAAAACAGCTGAAGAGTGGGATGAATTGGTTAGAATTATCAAACAGTTATGTTGGTCTGAATGCACTTCTCCTGTACTGTATTCTTCTGAAATTCTGTATCACGCAATGTATATAGTTTATTTTCACAGCTGAATTATGATTTATTTTAATTCTATATCAAGTTTCTTGTGAGTGGTGTTCCCATTTCTGCTTAATGACTATTGCATTTCTTGACATATAAATAATGGCCAATGATTTAGTAATATTCATGTTCGGTCCTCATGTCCCTCTTCATTTGTATAGCATTTTCTGGAGCTCCAGTCAAGAGATCTGAATTGTTGTAACAGAATTGACTGTATTACATTTACACTTGAATTGTTTCTTGAATTACTGATTTTTCTTTTGGTGGTATTAGTGCAGGTTAACTGGCTATTTGACAGGCATTCAAGGTCACTATTCCTGCTTTGTCAAGATTGACTATTTTATCTTACTACTAAGAAAGTGTAATGCTCAGCTAGATTCAAAGCTGCGTATGCCTGTGAATCTCCGGAGGAAAGATCCCTTTCTCTCATTTCTCATTTTAAAGTACGTTAGGACATCTCTGGGGGGCTGTCTGAATCATGTGAGAAGCAGTGGGATGTCAATTGTTGGTCACAATGTGACCCAGTGAACTAGTGATCTCACTCATCAGCTTCTAATTAGTGTGAGCTCATAAAGGTTGTTTGTTGATTGGCAGAATGTGATTGGTTGATAGAGTGGGTGTGATCAATTTAAAAACATCAGCTTGTGTCACTGATTTTAAAGAGGTTACTTAAAGCTGATTTTGTATTGTGGTTAGTTGTATCCCAGCTGATAAATGTAACCTAGTTTTGCATCACCTTAACAATATAACATCATTTGATCTTATGACATCATAAATATTACATTACGATATGATTAAATAGTCTCTGCTTCACTGAAGTGTCAAATTTGATAGCTGCTGCATATGAAGAATTAATGACTCATTGTCATCACTGGATATTTTGCACAAATTTGGTGAGTTATCTTCATTTTTAAAGACTTTCCTATACAATATTTGTTTTGTTTTGGCTACATGTATTGTGAATTATGTGAAAATCAGGGTGAGGGGTTATGGGGCTAGTGATATAAAGATATCTTGGGCAGATTTTTTTTATAGTGGGGAGACCAACTTTGGGTCCAGAACCTATAAGATATAAGAGCTGATTTTGCTGTTGCTTTTTAATTCAGCCAAGTCATTAGAATCCCTTTTCCTGAACAATCAGAGTGGGCGGGTGTGATGGTGACTCACACTTCTATTTATAGGTATCCTTTACAGTTCATCAATTCTCTAAATGTCAAACACAGCCAAGAACTTTGCTAAAGGAATACAAACCTGGGAAAGTCACCCTGTGCCTCCTCTCATCCCAGTTCTTAATCACATTCCTGAGGTAATACTGAATCCATTAGGATTCTGCAGGGAAACATTATACCTCACAGATGGGAAGAAGATGTTAGCATTTGGGGATAAAAAGCTATGCCAGGAAGACATGGAGGATGTGAGCAGCAGGGATTTGATCTTGCAAACCTGTGTCCAGTGTGAAAAGAAGTTCCATGGTCTTGTCAAGATTAGTAACATACCACCTTCAGGTTGTCCCTTCACTCTGACTTGCCCCGGATTTACCTGCATGTCATTCTGCAATCTGGAACATCTTGCAGCTCCACTTATTCTTCTCTCCAAGCCCATATGACCACATGCCACTGATACCCAACCTCATCCCAGTGGTATCTACCTCACATGCATCACTGTCACCTTCTACAAATGTCGCCCATCACCTTCCCAACGCTTTCCATTTCTCTCACTCCTAATGCTTTGCTTTCTACCCTTGTAGAACATGAGAGAGCAGGAGTCCAGGCAGAGGTAAAGAACTGGTGAAGTTGGGGCTGGGGGATGTGCAGGCTGTAGAGCTCCTGTCATTACTGTCATAACTAACATAACCACTACTGAGAAGGCTCCACACTTCGTTATCTCTGACTCTAACATCTGCAGTTCTTACTATCACATGAACAGAAGGAGCTGTTGGAGACAGGCACAGCAGTGAAATGACCACATCAGAAGGTGGAGAGCACTTCAACTTCTACTTAGCTTTATACAGATAATGAGCCTTTGGTCAAAAGAAGTCCATCTAAAATGACTATTCTGGAGCAGCATCAGAAAGTGTGTGTGGTTTTGTCAGCTGTTTGATACACTGCATGAGACCGGAGGTCTCCCCAAGTGTTAAGATGTCTCAGCATTTGTACTGATAATCATGGGAAGGATGCCCATTTACATGGAGCATCAATTCAGTAGGCACCCAAATATATCCTTGCGCTCACCATAGACCTGCACGCTCAAGTTTGGCAGTTTTAGTCAGATGGTGCAAAGCCTCAATTTTCCAACCAGCACCTTATCAAAGTGTAGCTTCTGGATAGCCGGGAAGTGAGATTCAACCATGAAAGGGAAGGTGGAAAAAGAGCATATGGAAATGGCAACTCTGCTCAAGGCATGTCCTTTGTTCCCCTCTCAATCATTGCCCCCCTCACCTTCCTCTCATTAGTCAGAGCGTTGCCTGCTACCTCCAGAATTCCTGACAGAGCATGCCCTTGTATAAGTGCAGGTGGGTCAGTCTTTGGAGCAGTCCTCACAGAATCTAAATCCAATAGAATATTTACTGTAAACACTTGAACAGTTAGTCAGGAAACAACCTACCTTGAGCTCTGCTTATACTAAATAGGAGAAAGAAGAGGAGCACAACAGAAGTTGCACAAAAAAATTCACTTAGGTGTCAGAGATAGTAGGAACTGCCGATGCTGGCGTCTGAGATAACAAGGTGTAGAGCTGGATGAACACAGCAGGCCAAGCAGCATCGGAGGAGCAGGAAGGCTGACATTTCGGGTCTGGACCCTCCAGATATGTCCATACCTGAAATGTCAGCTTTCCTGCTCCTCTGATGCTGCTTGGCTTGCTGTGTTCATCCAGCTCTACACCTTGTTAACTCACTTAGGTGTCAAATGTCTTTTAAATGAGTCCACTTTCTTGTAGTCATTAGCATCATAAAATTTATTTCAAATTTCTTTTGTACAATCAACACTGTTGTTGCTTCTTGCCTGCTAAGTGGATATCAGCCTTGTGGAGAATTGTACACTACCAGAAAATGAATAGTTGGTGTAATGAGGATACCTGTATAGGCTATGCAGTTTTTAAAACCAAAACATTTTTCAGAGTCTTTGAGGTGTTAGATTTTAAATCTGGGGTCAATTGTTCAGTTTTTTTTTAAAAAAAAAAAAGGCTTGTGGACATTGCTGCCTAAATGAGCATTTATTGCCTGTCCCTATTTGCTCTTGAGCAGTTGGTGGTGAGCTGTCTTCTCGAACTACTACAGTTTTTAAGATGTAGTTACAGCTTAATGAAATGCTGTTAGAATGAAAGTTCCAGGATTCTGACCCAGTGACCGTGAAGGAATTATAACTTGAAGTTGAGTTGGGATGGTATATGATGAAGGAGAATTTGCAGGTCGTGGTGTTCTCATACATTCACTGCCTTTGCCCTTCTAGGTGGCAAATGCCACTGGTTTGGAAGCCTTGCTGAATTACTGCAGTGCATCTTGGAGATGGTACACACTGCTATTGCTGTGAATTTGTGGGGGAGAGACAAAAGGTTTGTAGATTTTTTTATTTGTCAGATGTTAGCGTTGCTGGCTGGCCAGCATTTATTGTCTGTCCTTAGTTGCCTTTGAGGAGATGATAGTGAGCTGCCTTGAACTGCTGTAGTCCATGTGCTGTAGGTTGACCCACAATGTCCTTAGGGAGGGAATTCCAGGATTTTGACTCCGTGACAGTGAAGGAATGATGATATATTTCCAAGTTAGGATGGTGAATGACTTGGAGGGGAACTTGCAGTTGGTGGTGTTCCCATGTATCTGCTGCTTGTGCCTTTTAGAAGGAAATGTTTATGGGTTTGGAAAGTGCGGCCTGAGGATCTTTGAATTTCTGCAGCACATCTTGTAGATAGTACACACTGCTGCTACTGAGCGTCAGTGGTGGAGGAAAGCATATGTTTGTGGATGTGGCGCTAATCAAGCAAACTGCTTTATCCCAGGATGGTGTCAAACTTTGAGTGTTGTTGGAGCTGTACCTGTTTAGGCAAGTGGGGAAGTCTGGAATTCAGCGTTTTTGCCCATGTTCGATCCAAAGCTGTAATGAGGTCAGCAGCTGAGTGGCCCTGGGGGAATACAAACTGATCGTCACTGAGTAGGTTATTGCTGATCAGGTGCTGCTTGATCACACTGTTGCTGACATCTTCCATCACTTTACTGATTTTTTGTGCTCTGACTCGGACACCATAATTGATGATAGACTGGGGCAGTCAGTTGCAGGGTTGGGTTTGTCCTGCTTCTTGTGTACAAGACATACCTAGACAATTTTCCACATTGTTGGGTAGAGGCCGATGCCGTAACTGTAACGGAACAGCTTGGCTAGGGGAGCGGCAAGTTGTGAAGCCTTCTGTACTATTGCTGGAATGTTGTCAGGGCCCATTGCCTTTGTAGTATCCAGTGCCTCTGGCCATTTCCTGATATCATCTAGAGTGAATTGATTTGGCTGAACACTGGTATCTCTGATGCTGGGGACCGCTGGAGGAGGCTGAGGTGGATCATGCACTCAATACTTCTGGCTGAAGAATGCTGTAAATACTTCAGCCTCATCTTTTGTATTGATGTGTTGGGATCTTCCATCATTGAAGAAGGGGATATTTGTGAAGCCTCCTCATCGAGCGAGGTGTTCAATTGTCCACCACCACTCATGACTGGATGTGGCAGGAATGCAGAGCTTATGGTTATGTGGTGCCAATCGAGCATACCTGTACTGCTTTGTCTTGGATGGTGTCAAGCTTCTTGTGTTGTTGGATCTGCCCTCATCCAAGCAAGTGGGAAGTATTCAATCATATTCCTGACTTGTGCCTCATAGATGATGGACAGGCTTTGGAGAGATAGAGTTACTTGCCACAAAAGTTCTACTTTGATCTCAGAGATAGTAAGAACTGCTGATGCTGGAGTCAGAGATAAGTGTGGAGCTGGAGGAACACAGCAGGCCAGGCAGCATCAGGGGAGCAGGGAAGTTGACTTTTTGGGTCAGGACCCTGAGGAATGGTCCCGATCTGAAACGTCAGTGTTCCTGCTCCCCTGACGTTGTTTGGGCTGCGGCGCTCACCGAGATCTACACTGTTATCTCCTACTTTGATCTGTTCTTGTAGCCATAGTACCTGTATGGTTGGTCCAGTTAAGTTTCTAGTCAATGGTAACTACCAGAATGTTGATAGTGGGATATTCAATGATTGTTAAATCACTGAATGTCAAAGGGATCACTGTCACCCATCTCTGAAATTCAGTTCTTTTGTTCATGCTTGCAGCAAGGCTGTAATGAGGTGAGGAGGTGAGCGACCTTGGCAGAACTCAACCTGCTCACTGGTGTTCTGTTTATTGCTGAGTGAGTGCCACTTGATAACACTGATGATCCCTTCTAACACTGAGAGTTGGCTACAGCAGTGGCAAATTTGCAGATCTTAAGCACCTGATGAATGGTGGATGTCCTGAGTTGCTTTTACTCTTGGCACTTTCTGCTCAAAGCAACTGGTGATATAGGTCCATTTTGTATTCCTGAGTTGGCTTCATTGTCCTTTCAAGTTAGCAATCCACTCTTGTCCAGTGTGTTCAACTAACAGCACAAGAGTATATTAAATAAGAGATGCAAATGTTCTTGACGTTGTTTCAGTTGGTTATGTCAAACTTTTAGATAATGTAATAATCTCAATGCAGCCAATTTTGTTTATTCTATTTGGGTTTGCTGGACATGCTTCACTCTGTGGTCAGATGATCATAGCCATTCTAGGTCAGGTATTACCCTTTTAAAATCACTTTTAGATCATGTAAGCCTCATATTTAAAATCAGATGATGAAAATTGACCACTGATACTCCAAATTTATAATTTTGTACTTGTTTTA